ATTATAAAGGCTGTATAGATTTATTTGATGTCTGTAGAAGCTATACAGGAGTGTTTGTTATTTATAAAGGCTGTATAGATTGGTTTGTTATTTGTATCTGTCTGTCCACAAATTTTGTTTCTGGCTGATAACTTTAGTCAAGGTCAAGGGTCAATGTCATTGGTTTCAAAGGTCAAGGTCAAAATTTACATCTTTTCACTGATGAATATTTTGTTATGACATTATGAAGCAAAGTTGATCATAATTAAACAATGAGTCAACTGACCTAAGGTCAAGGTCATCGGATCAGGGGTCATGGTCAAATTTTGTAGCTTTTCACTGGTGAACATTTCGCTATGACATTATGAAGCAAAGTTGTTCGGAATTAAACAAAAAGATACACTGAGGTAAAAAGTCGAGGTCAAAGGTCAAGGTCATTAGATTCAAAAGTCATGGTTAAATTTTGCATTTTTTCACTGATGAACATTTTGTTATGACATGATGAAGCAAAGTTGATCAGAATGAAACAAGGAGTCGACTGACAAAAGGTCAAGGTCATTGGGTCAAAGGTCAAGGTTAACTTTTGTATCTTTTCACAGGTGAACATTTCACTATGACACTTTGAAGCAATGTTGCTCAGAATTAAGCAAGGAGTCAATTGACCAAAATCCAGGTCACTGGGTCAAAGGTGAAGGTTAAATTTTGTACCTTTTCCCTGATGAACATTTTGTTATGACATTATGAAGCAATGTTGTTCAGAACTTAACACAGAGTCAACTGACCTTAGGTCCAGGTCACGGGGTCCAAAGGGTCAAGGTCAAGTTTTGTATTTTTCACTGATGAACATTTTGTTATGATATTAAGAAGCAAAGTTGGTCTGAATTAAAGAATAAGTCAACTGACCAAAGATCAGTGTCATTCTTTTTGAAGTCCAAATGTCAAACCTCAAGCTCAGCTATATGGGCAGATTGCTTCTTGATGATTATGGGGGATATATTGCCACAAGACGGGCCCTTACTGACCTGTCAGTGTTCTAGTTTGTAGAGGTTATACAGGCGTGTTTGTTATTTATAAAGGCTGTATAGATTTGTTTGTTATTTGTAGAGGTTATACAGGAGTGTTTGTTATTTATAAAGGCTGTATAGATTTGTTTGTTATTTGTAGAGGTTATACAGGAGTGTTTGTTATTAAGGCTGTATAGATTTGTTTGTTATTTGTAGAGGCTTTACAGGAGTGTTTGTTATTAAGGCTGTATAGATTTGTTTATTTGTAGAGGTTATACAGGAATGTTTGTTATACAGGCTGTATAGATTTGTTTATTTGTAGAAGTTATACAGGAGTGTTTGTTATTGATAAAGGCTGTATAGATTTGTTTGTTATTTGTAGAAGTTATACAGGAGTGTTTGTTATACAGGCTGTATAGATTTGTTTATTTGTAGAGGTTATACATGAATGTTTGTTATACAGGCTGTATAGATTTGTTTATTTGTAGAGGTTATGCAGGAGTGTTTGTTATAAAGGCTGTATAGATTTGTTTGTTATTTGTAGAGGCTGTTAAGATGAGGCTGGTCAATGGTGCTGCTGACGGCATGTCAGGACGTCTTGAAGTCTCGCTTAATGGACAATGGGGGACTGTGTGTGACGATGAATTCACTTCAAAAGCAGCAAAGATTGCGTGCAAGGAGCTCGGTTTACCAGCGTTAGTAATTTTTCATTTCATTATTTGGTTAAGATACATGCGTTGCCCTCCTGCGCAACTTACAATGTTTCGGATATGTTATCTACCTTTAGCTTGAAAAGACACTTGCCTTAAGCTCATTTAAAAAAGTAATTATCGACTCTAAGTATTAAAACGAACTATGTACCATTTAAAAGAGTACTTCTCGACACTGTGTATTCCAACAACCTCCATACTATTTAATCCAACGACCTCTGTAGTGGGTAAAAGAATAGTTTTTATTCTGATCGCGTTCCGTCCGTCGTCGTCCGTAGTGCGTAAACTTTTTTTTCATTTTCGACTTCTCCTCAAGAGCCAGTGGATGGATTTCTTTTTCAAACTTGATCAAAATCATCCTTTGTAGATGAGGCTACAATATTATAGAATTGGGATTCCTGCTCCATTCCCAGGGGCCTGGGCGGGGCCCCAAAGGGGAAAGTAATCAATATTTCAAAAATCTTCTTCTCCAGACTCAGAGGAACTACAGTCAATTTCTCTAATGGGGATTATGGTTAAAAGTTTAAAAAAATCTTCATTATACTCAGTTACCTTAATTACCCTCATTGTAAATTTAATTATCCCCCAGGTTTTCTGATCTCCCTTGGGGACAGAGTATAATTCTCAATTGCAAAATGATTTATTTGAATAGTTTTTTAAGTTCTTATCCTTTGGTGACATGACAAGTATTGTATTTCATGTTGTTTACATGTTGTTTTCAACATTTTGTAAATCTCAACAATAAAATTGAGCTACTAGTACCTATACTATAACTCAGGTGACCACTAAGACCCTTGGGCCTCTTGTTAGATTACATATTCCAACGTGCTTTGTTCCTACAAAGCAGGAAACGTTACCTACATTTAGAAATGCTGTCAATAAATGCTGAAATATTGTAACAATGTGATGTACCATTTGTAGAATGAACTCGTACGTTTCAAAATACGGCCAAGGAACAGGTCAGATCTGGTATGATGACGTGCTATGTCAGGGTTCAGAGACCACTCTTCTTGCCTGTAACATGACAGAGGTAGGGAACAATGACTGTGATCACAGCGAGGACGTCGGAATCGTGTGTACAGGTTCGTGTCGGGAGAAGGGTAATGGTATCTATGTGAGTGTAAAAGTGCTGTAATTTTGGGTACGTGTTGTTATCTGTATACGTTTTAGCATGGTGCGGCATCCGTTGTCCGTCAGTTGTCCGTCCGGCGTCAACTTTTTACTTTAAACAAATTCTTCTCAATAACCAAAAGGCCCAGGGTACTGATATTGGGCCTGTAGGATGCTGGGATGAAGGGCTACCAAGTTTGTTGAAATGAATGAATTTGACCTACTTTCAACCTAATGTCTAGATCTTTAATAGTCATCTTCTCAATTAACGAAAGTTATAGGGTGGTTGTATTTGGAAATTTGCATTCTTGGAAGATGGGCCATACATTTTGTTCAACTTTATGTCCTTGTTGGACTTCCAAGGTCACAGGGGTCAAACATGTTTAAATCTTTTAACAAGTTCTTTTGAATGACTTTGAGCCAAGACACTGATATTTTGCCTGTAGCTTTATTTAAGTGTCTACTTTAAATATAAGGTTACAATTGTGAGATTAATACCAGGTGAGCGATGTGGGCCCATTGGGCCTCTTGTTGTATATGTTGTTATCGTGTGTATGAGTTGTTATCGTGTGTAAAAGGCCCAGGGTACTGAACATGTTGTTATCGTGTGTACGTGTTGTTATCGTGTGTACGTGTTGTTATTATGTGTACGTGTTGTTATCGTGTGAACGAGTTGTTGTCATGTGTACGTGTTGCTATCGTGTGTACTAGTTGTTATCGTGTGTACGTGTTGCTATCGTGTGTACGTGTTGTTATCTTGTGTACGTGTTGCTATCGTGTGTACGTGTTGTTATCGTGTGTACGTGTTGTTATCATGTGAACGAGTTGTTATCATGTGTACGTGTTGTTATCGTGTGTACGAGTAGTTATCGTGTGTACGTGATGTTAACGTGTGAACGAGTTGTTATTATGTGTACGTGTTGTTATTATGTGTACGAGTTGTTATCGTGTGTACATGTTGTTATCGTGTGTACGTGTTGTTATCGTGTGTACATGTTGTTATCGTGTGTACGTGTTGTTATTATGTGTACGTGTTGTTATCGTGTGTACGTGTTGTTATCGTGTGTACGTGTTGCTATCTTATGTACTAGTTGTTATCATGTGTATGTGTTGCTATCGTGTGTACGTGTTGTTATCATGTGTACGTGTTGTTATCGTGTGTACGAGTAGTTATCGTGTGTACGTGATGTTATCGTGTGAACGAGTTGTTATCGTGTGTACGTGTTGTTATCGTGTGTACGTGTTGCTATTTTATGTACTAGTTGTTATCATGTGTATGTGTTGCTATCGTGTGTAGGTGTTGTTATCATGTGTACGTGTGGTTATCGTGTGTACGTGTTGCTATCTTATGTACTAGTTGTTATCATGTATATGTGTTGCTATCGTGTGTACGGGTTGTTATCGTGTGTACGATTGTTATCGTGCGTACGAGTTGTTATCATGTGTACGAGTTGTTATCTTGTGAACGAGTTGTTATCGTGTGTACATGTTGTTATCGTGTGTACGTGATGTTATCGTGTGAACGAGTTGTTATCATATGTACGTGTTGTTATCGTGTGTGCGTGTTGCTATCTTATGTACTAGTTGTTATCATGTATATGTGTTGCTATCGTGTGTACGTGGTGTTATCATGTGTACGTGTTGCTATCGTGTGTACGTGTTGCTATTTTATGTACTAGTTGTTATCATGTATATGTGTTGCTATCGTGTGTACATGTTGTTATCGAGAGGACGTGTTGTTATTATGGGTACGTGTGGTTATCGTGTGAACGAGTTGTTATCTTATGTACGTGTTGTTATCGTGTGTACGATTGTTATCGTGCGTACGAGTTGTTATCATGTGTACGAGTTGTTATCTTGTGAACGAGTTGTTATCGTGTGCACGTGTCGTTATCGTGTGTACGTGTTGCTATCGTGGGAACTAGTTGTTATCATGTGTCCGTGTTGTTATTATGTGTACGCGTTGTTATCATGTGTATGTGTTGCAATCGTGTGTACGTGTTGTTATCTTGTGTACGTGTTGCTATCGTGTGAACGAGTTGTTATCACGTGTACGTGTTGCTATTTTATGTACTAGTTGTTATCATGTATATGTGTTGCTATCGTGTGTACATGTTGTTATCGAGAGGACGTGTTGTTATTATGGGTACGTGTGGTTATCGTGTGAACGAGTTGTTATCTTATGTACGTGTTGTTATCGTGTGTAAGTGTTGCTATCGTGTGTACGAGTAGTTATCGTGTGTACGTGATGTTATCGTGTGAACGAGTTGTTATCACGTGTACGTGTTGCTATTTTATGTACTAGGTGTTATCATGTGTATGTGTTGTTATCGTGTGTACGTGATGCTATTTTATGTACTAGTTGTTATCATGTATATGTGTTGCTATCGTGTGTACGTGTTGCTATCGTGTGTACGTATTGTTATCATGTGTACGATTCAGAATATTTAAATACCATTAGATCTCTGATTGTTAACATTGAAAAACGGTATGCTGTACCAATTTACAATATGGACAATATTGAAGATGTTTCTTTGCAAGACTTGATGTTTGTAATTAATGATCAACTGTTTTTGGAAACTTTACTGTTAGAAATCAGAAGTAAGACTATTTCATACTCATGCTATAAAAAAAAAACCAGTAACGATACAGAGAAAAAGTTGATTGAAGATATTCAGGAACTAGAAAGGGGAGCACTATCAAGTAATGTTGAGTTAAATAATATTGACATAAAAAAGAGAGAACTAGAAAAGTTAAGAAAGCATAAATTAATGGGCAATATGATACGTTCTCGAACAAAATGGATAGATGAAGGAGAAAGGCCAACCAGGAACTTTTGTGGACTAGAATCTAGAAACTTCACCAGTAAAATTATTCCAAAGATAGAAAAAGATGATGGTATAGTGATTTTAGAACAGACAGAAATTCTAAATGAAACAAAACTTTTTTATGAAAATTTGTACAAAAGAAATACTGCTATACAGGATGTAAACTTAGAGGACTTGTTTAATCCATATGATATACCTAAATTATCTCCCCTGGAATCATTATCATTAGAAGGACAAATAACTATATCTGAAATGGCAAAAACACTAATGAAAATGAAGGATAATAAAAGTCCTGGTTCTGACGGCTTCTCTGTTGAATTTTTTAAAGTATTTTGGAAACAACTTGGGCATTTCATTGTCAGGTCAATTAATTTTGGTTATTCAGTTTCAGAAATGTCAGTCACTCAAAAACAAGGAATTATAACATGCATCCCAAAAGGCGACAAACCCCGTAATGTACGAGTTGTTATCGTGTGTACGTGTGGCTATCTTATGTACTAGTTGTTATCATGTATATGTGTTGCTATCGTGTGTACATGTTGTTATCGAGAGGACGTGTTGTTATTATGGGTACGTGTGGTTATCGTGTGAACGAGTTGTTATCGTGTGTGCGTGTTGTTATCGTGTGTACGATTGTTATCGTGTGTACGAGTTGTTATCATGGGTATGTGTTGCTATCGTGTGTACGTGTTGCTATTTTATGTACTAGGTGTTATCATGTGTATGTGTTGTTATCGTGTGTACGAGTAGTTATCGTGTGTACGAGATGTTATCGTGTGAACAAGTTGTTACCATGTGTACGTGTTGCTATCGTGTGTACGTATTGTTATCATGTGTACGATTCAGAATATTTAAATACCATTAGATCTCTGATTGTTAACATTGAAAAACAGTATGCTGTACCAATTTACAATATGGACAATATTGAAGATGTTTCTTTGCAAGACTTGATGTTTGTAATTAATGATCAACTGTTTTTGGAAACTTTACTGTTAGAAATCAGAAGTAAGACTATTTCATACTCATGCTATAAAAAAAAAACCAGTAACGATACAGAGAAAAAGTTGATTGAAGATATTCAGGAACTAGAAAGGGGAGCACTATCAAGTAATGTTGAGTTAAATAATATTGACATAAAAAAGAGAGAACTAGAAAAGTTAAGAAAGCATAAATTAATGGGCAATATGATACGTTCTCGAACAAAAAGGATAATTGAAGGAGAAAGGCCAACCAGGTACTTTTGTGGACTAGAATCTAGAAACTTCACCAGTAAAATTATTCCAAAGATAGAAAAAGATGATGGTATAGTGATTTTAGAACAGACAGAAATTCTAAATGAAACAAAACTTTTTTATGAAAATTTGTACAAAAGAAATACTGCTATACAGGATGTAAACTTAGAGGACTTGTTTAATCCATATGATATACCTAAATTATCTCCCCTGGAATCATTATCATTAGAAGGACAAATAACTATATCTGAAATGGCAAAAACACTAATGAAAATGAAGGATAATAAAAGTCCTGGTTCTGACGGCTTCTCTGTTGAATTTTTTAAAGTATTTTGGAAACAACTTGGGCATTTCATTGTCAGGTCAATTAATTTTGGTTATTCAGTTTCAGAAATGTCAGTCACTCAAAAACAAGGAATTATAACATGCATCCCAAAAGGCGACAAACCCCGTAATGTACGAGTTGTTATCGTGTGTACATGTTGTTATCGAGAGGACGTGTTGTTATTATGGGTACGTGTGGTTATCGTGTGAACGAGTTGTTATCATATGTACGTGTTGTTATCGTGTGTACGATTGTTATCGTGTGTACGAGTTGTTATCATGTGTACGTGTTGTTATTATGTGTACGAGTTGTTATCATGTGTATGTGTTGCTATCGTGTGTACGTGTTGTTATCATGTGTACGTGTTGTTATGTGAACGAGTTGCTATCATGTGTACGTGTTGCTATCGTGTGAACGAGTTGTTATCGTGTGTACGTGTTGCTATCGTGTGTACGTGTTGCTATCGTGTGTACGAGTTGTTATCATGTGTACGTGTTGTTATTATGTGTACAAGTTGTTATCATGTGTACGTGATGTTATCGTGTGAACGAGTTGTTATCATGTTTACGTGTTGTTATCATGTGTACGAGTTGTTATCATGTGTACGTGTTGTTATCGTGTGTACGTGTTGCTATCGTGTGTACGTGTTGTTATCGTGTGTACGTGTTGTTATCGTGTGAACGAGTTGTTATCATATGTACGTGTTGTTATCTTGTGTACGAGTTGTTATCATGTGTACGTGTTGTTATCGTGTGTACGAGTTATTATCATGTGTACGTGTTGTTATCGTGTGTACGTGTTGCTATCGTGTGTACGTGTTGTTATCATGTGTACGTGTTGTGATCGTGTGTACGAGTTGTTATCATGTGTACGTGTTGTTATCGTGTGTACGAGTT